CAGACACACACCAGAATGCACCCAAAAGAAACAGGATAAGCTTGGGTGTTCTGGAAACTCAATCAGACACTTCACATATAATTAAACATCTACAATGTATGACAGATTTAATCAATCACTGTAAACAGCAGAAAAATATTTATTCACAAAGAATATATCTATAATCAATACATAACAAATATCATTAACTATTTGAAGTTCAAACAATATCATAACAGTGTATTCTTAATTAACAGCCTTGCTTGAGCTTGCACCCATCACAAAAGAATAAAATTAATAAACAGAACAGAAACAAGACACAATAGCTCGAATACTTTTGTCATCAAATGAAAGACAAATGATACTGAGTGAATAGAAATAATGCATCACAATGTATGCAAATATAACAGACAAAATACACAAACTTATCTTTGCTAAATAATACCATAGATTATAATTATCCAAATAATGAACTATTCAGACGTACACATAATAATCAAACGAAATACACAAGCATACATACAACCTATTTGAGTATAAACTCGAATAACAATTAGTATAAATGCCAAAAAGAAATAATAACTAAATCAGACAAAGATAATGAATAACATTGAACACATAAGTCCATTAGAACAATACGAAAGTATTGGACAAAACAAAATACATACATTCACATACAAATGCTTAAATGAATAATAGAATAATGAAAACGTACAAACAAACCAATTAAACACAAAAGCCAATTACTCAAGGCAAACCTTCTCAAATTGAAGGGGAGTAATAACAGTATATATTCACAAAACATAAAACATAACAAATAAATCAAAACATAGTAAACAATTAAATGATGCAGAAATATTGACTATGTCACTATTTAACCTTACACATCCTACAAAACACAATTATAAAGTTATTGTAATGAATTCAAAGCAAATCCATTGAATCTAACAAGCAAATCTGTTCAATCCAATGAATCCAACAATAAAATACCTACACAGGAGATACATTCTCTGGAATCTTTGATGGTCACACTATACATGGCACCATTGAATGTATTACAAACGAATATATATTATGGAGCATATATCAAAACATGGAGAAGTATGCTACATGTGATAATGTTGAGTAGAAAAGCATTTCTGGTACATATTGAACAGAACTACGTTTTCCACAACAGAATGTATGTTACATCAAAAATAACAATCATGCATCATACAAAACTTCTAACACTTATTCCCTAACATGTAGGACATAATAGCAAATAAATAATTAAATAAACAAAATAATATTCGAACGTATGACTGGGAAATAATCCAGGCAATGAAGCCAAGGAATAGCACATATTCCCAAAGCAATCTACACTAGATGTGTGAAGCACTTGCTAAAAATTAAAAGAAGCAACAGATGTAATAGCAATCAAAACATTAATCCTTTTGAATAAAACAAGATAATGTTGATCATAATGAACAAAAATGAGTGATACACTCAAAATAAATGAAATAAATTCATATTTCATAACAAACACACACATATATTCAGTGAATAAAGCAAATATAATGATTAAAACAATATCAAACAGAATTTAACACAAAATAAATGATAAACAAACGAATATTATGATATATAATGAAAAATAGAACTGTGAGATACACTATTTCATCTATCTATGAAATAAAAACAACAAACACATATTATGATTGTGCAAAGCAATATATTAATCAAATAAACATTATGCAACAATAATAAAAACATTATCACAACAATAAAACAATACAAACATACAAATAACGTTATAGTTTGTAAAAGTTGAAGGACACATTAATCAATAACAAACACAATGTACACATATATTGATATTAAATATATCTATTGCAAAACAGCAAAACAATACAAACGTATTATATGTTTAAAAACATAAATAATGTACCTAAACAGACTTACAAACAGTCAGATGATAAAATATAACAAATTACAATGAATAAAACCTCAATCAACCTTGATATGAAGCACTCTGACATATCATAAATGATATTACAAATTACGAACAATACAATGCTTCAATATAAAGGCATAGAACTACTATTAAATGCTTAAAAAGTATGAATATGAAATGAATACAAACAAAGATGATACATGATGAATAGAGGACATCATAATAACATCAACAGTACAATTTACAGGCATGATTCAACAGTTTCATTGTGAAAGTAAAAGTGGAAAAACTACTAGTAACACAATTCAAATGCACAAAAATACAAATTAACAACGAACAAATTAATAACACACACATTGTTATTAAATATAGTATTAACTATACAAACGAAACAATACAAACGAATTACAATTATAATTACACTTTGAGTGTAAGAATACAAAACGAACTACATGTATAATAATACAAATACAAACAGAACGAATAACAGAACAACTGCAGAACAATACAGTATGATAAAATAAACATACTATGACACAAAACAAACAATATGACATGAAAAACAAACGAAACGAAATCATATCATATCATATTATATTGCAAACAAGAAAAACTACTATCATACAAATGATAAAACATTATAGTGACGACTATAATAGTAATAATAATAAAACTACAAACAAACAAATGCTAAAGAGATCCTGTAGCTCTCTTAGCAATAAAAATTGAACTTACAATCGGTTTATTACATCAAACATAATAATAATACATTGGACAAATGTAACACTTACAGTGGACTTAATATACAAAGCAAACGAAACATTTACATTACAAATGTAAATGATATTAATAAAAACAACAGACAAACACATATCAAACATTATATTAGTCTGATCAACTAGTATAAGTTTGAAGGGGAGTGTTAACATTTATTTCGGATAAATGCATCATATGTCTCAAATCACACAAACGTCTTGCAAATATACACTATTGCTGAGACATGTCTTCTAAGACATACATCCAAGACATACAATATTAGATAGCATATATATTACTTCAATCTAAGGACAATGAAGCTCATTAAGAACTTATGCACAGTTGACTCGTATTGACACCTACACACTATGAGCAGAGTCCACTGAACCCCTACTAGTGTGACTTACTCTTAGTATCCTTGTGAGTGGTGCACAATCCTATGGAAGAATATTTCCTATTGATTAGGAAACATTGCAACCTCAACATGCTAACAAATACATTTGTTGCAACTTTTTCGTGATGTACTTCACTTGTATATAAGCTTTGTAGCTTCAATATAAGTTTATTTATACTTTGTTAAAGTATATCTACATTCTGTACAATTAAATATGTTCTGTTACATTGTTGTAGTAATGGTAGAGGTATTATTCTACTGTTCACCATTATTATACATTGTTATTATATGTTTACACTATCATAGGTGTAAAGTATTGTTATTTGTTTAAAGACTATAATTGTGTACTTGTTCCTGTACCATAGTTACTGTAATGTACTTTGTAACTTTATTATTATTATTATTATTATTAATTTGTCTGTAGATAGTTGTACACTTTCATAAGCTGTATTAGTGTGTAGATATCAGATGTCTTAGATATCAGATGAATATCTGCTAACTTGTTTTATCTCATATCTAACATGTCTGACATATCTAAGACATATCTTACATTAATTGTTTGGCTGTAATATTACTATATGTGTTATTATTTTATTTATGCTATAATATATGTGTGTTTGTTGACAGTGTCAATCATTTGTGCTATTATAATATTAATAGCAGATGAGTAGTGTTTGCTTTCTCAATCCTTCTAACGTTTGTCTGTAGTATGATCAGTTATTTATAATAACATGATCTCTGTAATATTATAGAATATTTTAGTGATTAAATGTTGCAGTAAGTGATACTCATTGTAGTTTCAGCATTGCCTGTATAGATTATGTTATTACTGGGCCAATAATCATAATCACTAAGATGACAATCATATAATGTCTGGGTTGTATGTAGTATAGTAGATTGTGCATTTGTAGTGTATTAATTTGTGTTTGGGATACTCAGACAGGTGAGTCAAGTTCTGCATCATAGTATACTGTATACATGCATGTGATGTGTAGAACTGTATAGAGTATAGACATAGTAGAGTGTAGATAAAGTATAGGCAGGGAGTGTAAGGCTCATAACCTGTTGAGAGGAGTTATGTGAGAGGCTTAGAGGGATCACACAAAGAGGGGGGATAGTGGACTTGGCTCACTCTCCTTAGCATCATTGTCTGTTGATTCAGTAGGTATATATAATATGTAGCTATGTCTTAGGTACGTCTGTTGCTTATATGTGTCATTCTATATATGTTAACATACAGCTTCAATGACATCAAATGTAGCAAAGACACCTCTATTGCCTTGTCTCAGGTGAGTGTATTCCTTAAAGGATGGTATCTTGTTGGTTGTACATAGATCTGCCTCTTTCATAGTGGCATCAATATATTCAATACAATAGGACACAAATCTCTCACATATTTCTGGAGAAGCAATACAAGACAGGTGTACTATGAAACTATATAGGAGAATCTTAGATAGTGATGGAAAATTAATTCAATCTGCTTGACATACTCTTTAGTGAATAGTGTAACTAGGGAGCTGTCATTGCCAGACACTCTCTTGAGCACATTAATGAAGATATCACAGGTTAATTTGGTACTGTCTGTATCCTGAACATTAGTAAACTTGTCCACAGTAAAGAGAAGCATCTCAAAGTCAGTACCAATATATAGTCCCTCAGCATCTGTATAGGGATACACATATGTGCCTAGGAGCTTGATATTCAGGACATCCAGTCAATCATGTCTGTGGTCAGAAAAGACTCCATATTTGAGCATCCATTTTGTTGATTCTCTCTTGTCATACAAGTAATAAGGGTTGCTTCCATCCCAGGGAAAGGGAGTGAATGACAGGAAGTCTAGAATGACAAGCTCTGTGTACTGGTCTATGTGGGAAGTATGTTGAGTTCTGTGAGTTTCTGCATGTAAACTCACTGTCTTTTATACCATTTATACCATTTATTATACTATTTATTATACTATTTATTATACTATTTATGTATGCTGGGTTGGGAGTTAGGAACATTACTAAGACACATTTACTAGTCTGATCATAGACTAAGTCTGCACCCCTTTCCTTAGTAGGGCTCAGTCCTGTACTGTATTATACAGATACAGCATTTTTGTATACAGTACTGTACTGTATCCATATAAAAAATTTGACTCAAAAATACAGTATGTATTTTACAGGCTGTAACTGTATATAGTCTGTATAATACAGACTGTATACACCTGTATACAATATACAGCTACTAAATGAAAGAAACTCCTGCTCTAAACATAATACTGAAGCTCTAATAAGTAGTATTCAATGTTCAGACACTTATACTAGTATTTACTAATATATTCAGCACTATTATTGTAAAAGTATGTACAATCTGATATATATTCCAATATATAGGTACATCACATGACTCGACTTTATGACAAATATCACAGACTAAATTACATAACAAAATGTTAATAAGTCAAATTTTATACATTTCATGTAGATTAAGGCATAATATAGGTAGAATTCAATATTTCTATACTAAAGAGGTAATATCACAATAATGTAGCCCCTTACATTTCATGCTACACCTTGGTAAATGTAGCAACTATACTGTATCTGTATATGGTGTATATGTTCTGTATACAGCTGTACTGTATCTGTATAGGTTTTTAGGTTCAGAAATACAGTACTGTATTATACAAGCCATATCTGTATAAGGGTTGTATTATACAGCCTGTATCTGTATACAGTACAGTACCAAGCCCTATTCTTTAGTAAAGTTCTTTTGTGAACTTGCATTCCTGTTTTGATTCACATCCACCCTCAAATCAAAGGGCTTTCAGTAAACTAGTTTTCTAGATGATAAGCAAATTGAGTGTAATCCAGTCAAAAACATATGCCTTACATATACAAAGTGAGACACTGTGAAAACTTTTGTTGTATACACCTTTTACAAAGTAAGTTCTTGTTCTAGAGAGTAAAGTTATAACCTTGTATCCTCCAATTTCTGTTACATACTTGTATAATGAATTGATGAGTGTATAGGACAATATTGAACAGACTGTGTACTCTAACAGCCTGGGAGTTTAGGGTTTGTGGAGTAGTAACTTGAGTACTACCTTGCTACTTTGTTAACCTGGAAGCACTACTGTAATCCCTTGTTCCTGCCTCAGATACAAAAATAGTACTGATTATTAATAATGAGCACTTATATTAAGCTCTGTATTCTTTGTTATCATGAAAAAGGCCATAAAATAGTAGTTTGTAAAGTATTCAGTATTCCCCTTTCTGGATACATTTTAGAGGTACTATTTATGACAATATTAGTATCAATTCCCTAACAGACTGTTACAATTCTCTACTCCTGTACCTTCAGTTCTGAGGGTTCTACACCCTTCTGTACTAGAACTCAGGACTTCTGTCCCTCAGAGGTGCTGTCTATAGACTATATGTATACTGACTCTTACTACTACCCTTCCTTACTTTATTATTCCATTCCTTTGACTACCC